GCTCAGCCGGAACTGGACGCCCCCTTCTTTCTGCTGGAGAGGGTTTCTGGCTTGCAGCTTCCACCCTGTGCCGCGCTGAGCTCCTCTGCTTCTCTTTACTCCGTGCCCTCCGTTGTGTATCAAAAAGCAGCCAGCTGCCTCATCAACTTCTCCTCCATCCCGGATGGATGTGCAGGACCTGGATTTTGGCCACCCATTCAGGCTGACAACGGAGTACCTCTAGACATAATGGACCCCCACCCCCCCATTATTAGTGTATCATTAAAGCACAAAGCGTCACAATAATGAAAGCACGTAGGGATCATAAGAGAAAGGTGTGGGGAAAATACACTGAGAAATTGTAAGCAGCTTAGGTAGAAAGGCAGAAATTTCCACTAAGCAAAGGGCCAATCCTGCAGTTGTTTCGCTCATGCTGCTTCTGTTGGCTTCAAATGGAGTAAGCGGTCTTTAATTTGATTTCTGTCCTTTGAAATTGCAATAAGTTTAATGTAATAAAAGAAAGCAATGGACCTAGATTGTCTTTTTGACAGTACACATTTCAGTTTTAGTGAGACTTTTCCACTTCCCTGTGACTCAAGCAGCAGCAATGTAGATAAAACAGGTTTTTATTAAAGATGTGATATGTTGCTTCTTTAATTTTTACCTTTTAAAATTTAATGCAGGCAGCAGGTATAGTCATGATTGAGCGTAACATCGGGAAAAAGAGTGGGAGACTACAGACACCCGTTCTAAACACGATACTCTACTATTTTCATTAACAGCTTGAAGCATTACACGGTGTGTATGCTAAGCAAATTAGTGGGTGATATGAAGCCGGGATTAAACAAGAGTATTTTGGAGTATATGAATAAATCCAAATTAAATTTTAAATAGGCTCAAATTAACACAATGGAATTCAATAAAAGCAGGAAAGAGGTTAATTTAAAGACGTTGTCAAGCTGACAGTCCCAAGAACTGTTTCCCTGCAGAAATGGATTGCCACATCCTTGTCTGAAACTGTGAGCTTTTTGTCCCTTCCATTGTGACAGATACATGGCCACAAGAGAGGGCTCCTGTGTAAAGAAATATGTAGTTTGCCCTTCGTCTTTGCTCATGATGCTCTGACTACTGTGCAGTGTTTTAGTTGTCAGGTGTGTTTGTTTTCCTTTCTCCAGAAAAGTGTTTTAAATAAAAAGCAGCAAGTTGTCACTGCTGGGGGATGAAAGCTGTAGGCTCATGTTCTTTTAGTTGCTGTATTTCCATCAGGATTTTGGTTGTGCTTTTGTAGCTGTTCTTAGGCTGAGAGTGGGAGACAAATCTTCTGGGGTATAGACTCAAGTCAGGTTTCCCTCTTCATCTGTGCTTTGAGAAGTACAACAGCATGTAGTGAGAAGGCCCTCCAGGAGAGCAGCCTTACCCTGCTGACGTGACATATCTAATTAACTAGCAGACTAAACCAACATGAGGATTAGTCAGCTCCGGATCCTAGTGACTCATTTTCAACCACTATCTTAATCCCTTCTGTTGAACAGAGATGTAACGCTGGCGGCTGACACTGGCTGCTCATTTTTGTGTCAGAATCAGAAAATCCAGTATCAGACTTCGGTGTTCAGCATTGGTAGATGCTAGACCTGTCAAGCCTCACATGAGGGAATTGCTGAACTGGCTCCCACCTGGCTTTTAATTTCTGAGAGGGGGTGGAAGGGAGACATTTAGGGAGAGGACAATTGCAGCAGAGGCTGGTTGAAAAGCAGTGGTAAGTAAAGAGATAAGCATGTTCTTGACATCTCAGGTCCCAGATTAGTTTTATCCCTCTCACTCCAAAAATGAGCCTAGCCTACTTTGGGATCTGTGTCTAGGATTTCCAAAGAAACCTAGAGAAGATAGGCACACAGTTCCCAAACTGGTCAGTTTATTAAAACAGAATTTCTGCTGAAGCCAAGCGGTGCTCTGGCCGTGTTTCTTTCCTGATTTCAATGTGTTGTCATGTTGCCTAACTCCACTCAATTATTAACCAAACTGCTAACTGGCCCTGCTGAGGTAACTGTTCAGAATGGCATTCATTTGATTGTGTGCTGTTTGCAAAAGAAAAATATTTTTCAAGACCTTTCGGTCTTACATTGTCACTTGTATTTATTTGTCCTGTGTTTAGGTGTATCTGGTGTGGGCTGGCTTCACCCTTAAACCAGGTTGTTTATAACCTGGGATAAATATGTAAAAGAAAAAGAGGGTTCCATATTGACCAGTTTTGTTTTGGCAGCTTTCTGGTACACTGTTGTGGATAGTTCAGCACAAAA